TTACATGGAAATGAAATGTGTTAATCATATTTCGAAACATTGTTTTCAATAGTCGATAACAAAACAACTTTGTTATAACAGAGAATTGATTATTAATAATTTGTTTAATAATTATTATTGACTATTAATTTGTGATTATTGATTAATTCGACGCGCGTTAAGAAAAATAACACGTTTCATTTTTCTTATAAAAATTAGTATTTTTTACTTTGCGATCATGAAAAGCAGTACTTTTCGATTTTTTCCGGAAAGTAGCATATTTTCATTTATAGCAAACAAAAAATAGATGCTCAAGAATAGATTTTTGATTATGAAAACTAATAATAGTAACAAGTTTCAATAGTTTGTCACAAGAAGAAGTAGGTTTCGATTTTGTTCACTAAAAGTAGCATGTTTTACTTCTGAAATGTGCTAGTCTCTTCATAAGACAAATAAATTGAATGCAATAAACTGAACGTAACAAATTGAATATTATGTAGACAAATTAAACGTGCTACTTTTCACAGCAGTGTTCAAAATATACATACTATTGTTAAACAAAATTGTAAAGTGCTTCTTTTCTTGATAAATTGATATGTGCTCAGTTTTCGTAAGCAAATGAAACGTACTACTTTTTATCACTGTGCAGATCGGACTATTCTTGATTATTAAAGATTATTAGTAAAATCTTCCTTATACTCGACATTCAGAAAGAAAGCAAAATAGATTTAACGCGATATACGAAAATGTTTACGTTCATCGAGCTCGTTATTGTCGGCACGATAAACAAAAAGAAATAACGCAGCTCAGTATTCTTTTAAATGCGCATTTACATGCTTTTTAATAGAGACATGAAGGTGTACTTGTGTAAACAAAGATACGCGTGTATACATAAATAAATACATATTAATATATGTATACGTACATATAAACCCAACGCGTACATATCTTTCTCAGAGTGGTAGCTCGCTTGTAATCGGGTGCTGCACTCTGATTAATGACTCGTTTAAATGAAGCCGTATATTGTAGATAAATTGACAAATGCGCGAGGCACATGCGAGGGGCTATAGTTCTTGGTCAAACATGCCAGACAAACAAGTACTCATGCATTCCACACATGTAACGGGTGGTTCGATAAAAAGGTGATGCTTCGTTGATCCAGGTGCGATTGTACTTTTACCTAACGGTCTTAATTGTATATTTGTAATGTTCTTTAAATCTTCCATTCTTTGGAATATCACAGATTAGAAATATTATTAATACTTTTTTCTGGATTCCTCAATCGATATATTTTAACATTTTATCTATTATTATTAATAATTTCTTTTTCGTGGAATTGATTAGATTGTGCAAAAACATAAATAAAAAATGATACATGAAATTATCCAAGATTATTCGATAAGGTAATTATACTTACCTTTAGACCTGTCAAACTGGTAATTAAATTTGCCAATCGTAGAAACGAATAGACCTATAGATCACTGCTTTAAAAGTTGTTTCTAGCTGGTTCCAAATTTGTGATAAGTTCAAAGTATGCTGGTAAGTGATTGGTTACGTAAGTTCATTATTGCTTATAGTACTATATGTACTATCAATGAAAGTGAAACTTTAATTCAGGTTTATCGACGATCAATAATGTCGTCATAATGTACTCGTAAGATTATAATAATAAATCTATTTGATCAGAGTTAGAATTTGAGAAGCTCGGTAGGAAATTCTTTCTGATCATCGTCGTTTAATCGAGAAATTAAGAAGTAAACATAATTTTGAATGCAACTGATTCGATTTATTCGCGGGTCAAGTTCTATCGGGTTCGATAAAGAATCATCGGTGTTTTTGACTCCAAGTAGAGGCCAACGAAAATTTGATTTTCATTATTTTTTACGTTTCTTCTTCTAACAGCGTCGTTAAGATTAAGAGACCCTCGAACGACAAAAGAAATTTATCATGGAAAATTCAGCTGATCTACGATATTTTCATAACCGTTGCGAAAAATATTTACTTCCTTCGTATTTATTTGTACTGATCTTTCTCTCTCTCCCTTTCTCTCTCTCTCTTTCTCTGTCTCTCTCTCTCCTTCTCTCACTTTTTTTTACTTTTTGAACAAAATGCATTCAGTTTAATACTTGTAGACAAAAAAGCGATCATCAAACAATCGCAGCCGCCTCTTGTGCCCCGAAAGTTTATCGCGTTGAACGTCGAGAAACGAAACGTTGCCGCTTTCATCGATTTTGATTTCATCCTCCTACTTATAAAAAGAGAAGAGCGATTTCGTCTGAAAAATAAGAATATCAAAAATGGCAATGAACAAAGAAAATGCAATTCAAATTTAACACGAATCTTTTTTTCGACTAAAGTCCTTCATGAATTCAAGAAACACGCATGAATTTACCCTTAACACGTTGACGTAACAACCATCATATATCTTTTTTGTTAAAAAAACAATATCGATTTCAACAAATAAAATTGCGGTATTCTTTTAATTGCGATAATGTGCGTCAACGTGTTAATACAAAAATTAAAGTAAACGTAAGCGAAGATAAAGACAATAAAGACACTTGTTTCTCGAAAAAACCATTTATTTTATCGAATAAATATTTTTCTATCTATGCTCTCTACCTAAGAAGTACACATTATACATATAAGTATGCATTTTTTTTTCTTTGTCGTTCTTCTTCGGATACTGGAAAGTACACAATTCCATTATTTTTAATAATAGATACACTGACAAACAAACGAAGAGCGAAAAAGAAGACAAAGATAAAAAGACAACAAAATCAAAGAAAAAAAATATAAAAGAGGTGGTTGCCTTTTCGTTCGAAGGGCCTTAGCTCTAAACGATAGTAAGGAAAAGGGAATAGCCTCGGTAAGAAATAGTATTGAAATATTAGGTGTACGAATGAATAATCCAATTGTTTCTTTATGCAAACCTCAAGGTTTATTTTGAAATCAAATGAAATTCACTCAAATTATTCGCCGTTACTTTTTATAAATTTAAGCTATCTTTGAGACAGATAATGAATTCAGTCTCGGAAAAATATATCTTTGAATGCGATTAAATCGTTAAGCCATTTTGTTGTATCTCTCATCCACTGATTGGAAGTATATATTGGATAAGGATATGTTGTATCGTTCGGAACAAGCGGTAATCCGATGAAGCAGTATCTGGTAAATATGTTGGATGCCCCGGGATATCCCGCCAAAACTCATTATGATATCTTTAGAAACAGCATGTGGTCTGATGTTGTCATTGCAGCAATTTTGCAGGACACTCTTCTTTCCCAGTATACGGACTTTATTGTTCCAATTCTTGGCTTAAACTGATTAGTCGATTGATTCGATAACAGTTGACAGTACTATTTCACTCGGTTTCAACTTTGATATTCCACTAAATGCAGAGGAATAATTGTTTTTCGAAGCATTTAAGCTTTCCAACCGATGTTGTTGTTTGTTCTCAGGATTTTTGCCATGATTTTTTGCGCCTCAGATTAATTATCCGCAAGAAAAATTTTCTACATTGTTTATTAATTAGAGGAAGACACTCTCACACGTTGTCGGATGTGTATTTTACATGCTGCCATATTCGACTTTATCAAACTGAAAACAGTTTGAGATTATATTCAATATTATTCCAAATCGATTCTCACTTCTAACAGCTATATACCAACGTAATATAATTGTAAAAAAAATAGAAAATCAATCAACTTTAATATTAATTTTTTAACTACTGATAAAAATTTGGATTATTCATTTGTACACCTAATATATTTTTATACACTTTCCTCGCATAATTATTCGTTGTAATTTTTGAGACGATGCACAAGTCAATTATCTATTTTACAAAAATTTACTACGGTGCACATAACTTGGAAAATTCGAAGCCGTAGAGGATAAAAAGAGAGGAAAGAGGTGAAGAGAGAGAGAGAGAGAGAGAGAGAGAGAGAGAGAGAGAGAGAGAGAGAGAGAGAGAGAGAGAGAGAGAGAGAGAGAGAGAGAGAGAGAGACAGACAGACAGACAGACAGACAGAGACAGAGAAAGGGAGAGAGAGAGAGAAAGGAGAAAGAAAAATTGAATGTATTCAGGTGTATCAAAAATTTTCGTTAAATTGTAGTAAAGTATTTCGTTAAATTGTATTCGTAAATTATCTTAAAATGGCTTAGGAAGGAAACCTTCATTATTGTACGATAGAATTTAATAAAAGACGCATGCCCGGGTCAGTTACACTTTTTATCTACAACTTACCATATTAGATATTCATTTTAGAAAAGAGACGGAGCTTCGCTAATTAATTCGCTCCTCTACGAATTCCCCGATACGAATCGAGAAATTTGACAAAAGTTATGTCATACTTGCTTGGATTATTTTATGTACACATTCACAGTTTATACGCATTCTCTCACAATCACTCGTAATATTGATTTAAAAATAGAAAAAAAAGAAAAAAAAGAAAAGAAAAGAAAACAGAAAACAGAAACAAGTGGATAGGAAAAATATTAGAAATTTCGAAAAGACTGGAGTATGAAGAAGAAAGTTAAAAAAGAAACAATATTATTTCACTGTATACCGAGATCTTTTGGCCAGTACGTCCTCGTCGATCAAAAATGATCGTTGCTACAGATATTATAAATGTAAGACAAACGATGTCATCATTTTTATTACCATAGCAAACGCTGTAGTATTACAAATCGCTAACAGCACGAGAGAGAGAGAGAGAGAGAGAGAGAGAAAAATTTCAATAATCGAAAAAAAGGGACGGGATCAGTATGCTCGAACTTCGTCATTAACGTTTCTACATCCGAAACGAAGGAAAGGAGAAGTCGAACTAAAAATAAGAGAAGGGACGTACGGGGAACACGTAACGAGGAAGAAATCAAAATGCCTTATAAAGGTCGTTCTCTTGAATCAGGAGCAAACGCATTGGCGCCTTAAAAATAATACCGTGACTCTAGGAACTATTCGCCTTGCCGTGGATTCACCATCAAGGTTGCCCGCTCGAACTTTTTTCTCTTCCATTCCTTTGTTTCTATTCTCATCCTTTTATTTCCATCTTCTCATTTTTCTTTCATTCCTTTCTTTCGACCGTCATTTTCTACACGTCAAACGTTCAAGCGCGCGGCACCTAACACTTCCGAACAAGGCACTTTCAGTCTATCGGATGAAGAATTTTTTCCCATGTTTTTTTCTCTTTTTTCCTTTTTTGTTTTTTTTTCTTCATGGAAAATTAACCAGCAACGAACCAACGACACACGTCTTCCTCGTTCTTGCTTCTCCAGAATGGAAGTAATGGAGACTATGAGCATCCACATCTTTCAACGACCATACCTGGTAGTCGCGAGAAAACGATTTGATACTCGTTGTCAAAGTACAGCATCGTAATCTCCGAAAGCTTTCTCGGAGCACAACATGGACCCGTGTTGTTCGGTGGTTCCGCCAAGCTAACTATGTGAGTGTTCGGATAGACTGGCAGAAAAGCCATCGGACAATCGCCCGAACAGTAATTTGCGTCGTATCTGAAACAAAGAATATGAAACGGAGTTGTGTTTATATCTGTCATCGTATTACGCTGATTTTGCTTTTTTTTTTCACCCATGATGATTTGAAACAAATTTTGATATACATTTTTAATCATTTCTTAATATGTATGTTAAATCCAAAATTATATATACATATATATACATAAAAGCTCACTTTTTAGGCGCGATTATCCAATCCCAGCCGAACTTCTCGAAATCCACCGTGAGCTTGTAGCGACAGCACCTCGTTTCTTGACTGGCCTCATCACAATTAAGGCCGACGTTTCTTTTAATCCTACCACCTCTCCTCGTGTCCAATTCTTGTGTTTGCACTTCGAGATATGGGGCAAACTCAGCCCCGGGATTCGTCTCAACAAGTCTCGAATTCCTACGATGATTTCCACCAGGACCCGAAATCTTTAGAGCGACACCTAAGTTATCTCTAGGATGCTTGAACCATTCGGCCACCATTCTTCTTAATTCGATCGTGATCCAAGCACCTCTACGACCATTCGGTCGAGGATGTTTCGTCGTTAACGGTGGACCCAACAACGGACCACCTGATTCTGTGACACCGCGAAGAATCCTTTGAAGCGTGATCGTCATAGGTCCTTCATGATGAATCTCCAAGTTATCCAGATCAACTGATTCGCTTGGCTCGTCATTATCCTGATTGGTACCCCAAACCCAGAGAGACAATTCTGCTCTTGTCACTCGATGTTGAATCACCTTGTCGGAGAACTTGAAGTACAACACGTCTAGACTTCCTTTTGAATGCCTTAGCCTTTGATCTGTCAACAGAACATTACCGATTTTTTTTTATTTAGTTAGACATATTTTAAAAATGATTAGAACATATTTAAATATTTTTGACGAGTATCAAAAAGTATAACACACATAAAAGTATAACTTTTGTGTGTGTATACTTTTTAACAAATGCGTTTAAAAATATCCCGACATTAGAAAATTCATCGCGCGCTTGTTAAAAATACTTGCTATTATGAAATACGTTGAAGAACCACATTACTCTGATATAACGCTCACGATCGGAGCTGTTAAACTGACTTGAAATAATCGCTTGTATACATATATACAATTACCTATTATATGCAAGAATGATTAGAGGAAAATGCAGACTGAATATATGATTTCAATCGAAACATAGTCAAGCATTAATGATTTCCACTAACGTAGTAAGAATCTACACAAGGATCGTTGCTTGTCACGAGGTTATCGGGATAGAAAAGATTTGCGATAATCAATGATGTGTATGCGCACACGCCAATGATTAAAATGCGAGTCTCTTGCGATTATTACGAAAAGACTCTTTCGTTATCGTACGTTATTAATCAGAACAGTGTGCCGTATTAATAGAAGAAAGTCGTTTGCTGACATTAAAGAAAATCGTTTCGAATAATAATACGAAATAGAAAAAAACGTGATTTTAATTTACCAGACCCGATCATCGTTCGCAACAATAAAAAAGTAAGTATCTAGAGCGTATTGGTAATTATTTCTAATTGACAAATAAGTTGTTGCGAAAGTATTTCATGCGATAAGACGTATTAGGAACTTCGTAACTAATTGCCGTTGAAAATAAATCTAACTAAGTTATTAACATGTTTGTAGCGTGTTCATCTTTAAATCACGACGCATTAAAGTTTTTCTTAATTCGAAAGGAGTGATTAGAGCGGATTAAACAAATCTAAAGATCGTACTAGCGAGTGAAATCGAATAGAACATGAATCATTTTAATATTAAAAATTACATGCTTATTTTTTATTAACATTTATTTAATGATTAGGATTTGAGAAAGAATTGCGAAGGAATAGATCTAATGTCAAATAGATGCACTGTAATCTTGTAAAGATGAAAAAAGAAATGCTATTAAAGTTTACGAAATATCCAGATTATCATCTTGTTCTTCTTCTTTGTTTTCTTCTTTAAAGAAAATAACGAATAAGTAATGGCGAGTTGATCGGTAAGGTTAAATCCAACGGAGAAACGAGTGTCGATGATTTGAGTCATCAGGTCAAAGGGTTAAAATCTTTGAGTGTCGTTCGTTCGGAGTAGCATTTCAACTTGGCTTGTTCGCCTAGAAATGACAAGAAAAGGCAAACCGTTGTGGAAAGAAAGAGAGAGATAGATAAACAGACACAGAGAGAGAGAGAGAGAGAGAGAGAGAGAAAGAGAAAGACCTCAAGAAAAGTCACCATCCTGATTGATCGTTGTGAGAAAAACGATGCTCCGCATAACGGTAAGACTCGCGAGGCGGGCTTTACCCTTCATGGAAGCGGTCTTGGATGGCCCGAATAGAAGTCGTCACTACCGCCACCGTTTGCAGGTTTAACGGTCCTAAGAAATTTTCAGGCACTCGACCAAGAACATATCTTTCGTCTTAGTACATCGGACCGTCCATTAATCCTTTCGCTCCTAACAAATTGGACACGGTATGTGCGATCTTTGCGATGAATTTGTCCTAAGCCAATGATCAACAGAGAAATATTGAATAGTCGTGGACCGAACAAATGTTTTACCTCAACTACATTCATGTAAATATTACCCATGACGAAATTTTATTAAGTACTAAATTAATTTTCCCAATTGATTCAATTAATATACTACCAATTTGTTATTTCTTTCTTTTTTTTATCGGATACATTCTCGATCTTCTCTTTTCCTTCTCTTTTACCTCTTCCTTCTCCTTCTCCTACTCTCAATCACGGTCAGGTTCGAAAAACGACCAGGACTCCATTCTCTCGTTCGTATAATTCTACTTTAAAATTTACACTTAAACAAGGGAAATGGTTATCTCTACGGGAAACATTTATGTTTTATCAAATAATACACAGCACGACGTTTTCTTGCACGATCATAATCTCGAATAATTATAGATTCGACATACGCTGTCGTACTCGACATTTATAAACTAATTTCTTACGACTAATTGTGTTAATCTTACAGATAGCAAGATCTTCTATCCCCTTCGCTGGCGACGTCTTTCGGAAACTTCAGACGATCAGAATGAAGGTGGATCAAGTTTTCCCTTCCCGTCCAGTATAATTGACTTAAGGAAGACAAACCTAATCTCTTTACTGTGACTTCACCTTCGAAGTGCCAAGGATTCGTAGACATACACCTAGTCTCTTTCTCTCTCTCTCTCTCTTTCTCTCTCTTTCCCTCCCTCTCTCTTCCTTTTTTTTCTCTCGTTCTTACAAATACCAACAAAACGACATTTGTCTTCCTTTATCCATGAAATCATATATTACGGATTTAATCGAATAACCATTATTATACTACCACGCTTTACCTTCGTAAATTTGACTTCTCCCTTGCCAAAAATGATTTCTGCATGAGTCGATAAAATTTGTTTCATTGTATCCACAATACGTGCATATATATTGTCGCTTTTAACTGAATGAACTACGGGTATTTCATTTCGCAAAATATTTTTTTATTGGCTAATTACAGGTTACAGAATAGTCCGAAAAAAAGAAACATTTGATTTTGATAATTTTTAGAGTTTCAATCTGAACAGAATTTTAAATCGGACTGTCTGGAGGTTGTCTGAAGGTTCTCGGAGTGTCTGATTTTAAACAGGAAAACGTGCGTCATAACTGAGGTGAAGAGTCGCGCTTTGACGAGCGAGGAAGAAAAAAAAGAAAAAAGGGGAAGAAAATGGCGAAAGAAGAAGCGAAAAGGAAGAAGGAACGACAAGACGGAAAGATGGGTGACTTATTTTGGTCCAGACGAACTACCGACCGTCTGGCTTGGCAAGTTCGAGGACTAAATTTAAAATTACGCGAAAAAGGGGAAGAATTGTGTCTGGAGAAAAAGTCAAAGGAAAGTGAACACGATTACTGAAAGGGAAACGACTGGGATCTTAAAACGTCTAAGGCACCCTTGAAAATACTCGAAATATTCTCGACATTCGTACGTTCTTAACGCTTCGGCGATTGGATTCAGAAAAAAACTGAGAAACTTGGAACCGTGACATCTCGTTATATACGTATAAATAAACTATTTCTTAGATTTTAGACGAGAGTAAAATATGAATGAAAGAAAGAATTAACAAATTTACGGATATCGTTTAGTTATCACGTGGACAATCTTAATATATTTTTGTATTAGAAAATTATGTAAAATTTATTTATATTTTTCCAAATGAAAAATACAAAAAACGATTAATTTGAACGAGCACCAAAAGAAATAAAGATTTTCAAAACAAACGTTAATCGTTTTAATTTTTAATCGATCTCTATGAGGTATATGAAAAATGAGGAAATCTAAAAAAAGAAGAAATAAAGAAAGAAAGAGAGAGAGAGAAAGAAAGAAAGAGAGAGAGAGAGAAAGAGAGAGAGAGAAAGATATAAAGAAAGAGAGAAAAAGATATAAAGAAAGAGAGAGAAAGATATAAAGAAAGAGAGAAAAAGATATAAAGAAAGAGAGAGAAAGATATAAAGAAAGAGAGAAAGAAAGATATAAAGAAAGAGAGAAAAAAATATAAAGAAAGAGAGAGAAAGATATAAAGAAAGAGAGAGAGAAAGAGAGAGAGGGAGAGAGAGAGAGAGAAAGATGATTCTACACGCTAAGAGATACATCTTTGTGGTTATGTTTTAGCTTAAGGCTGTCACACGACGTTTAAAGTCCGCTCAACGCCGGCACACGTGATGGTACTTGGCGCGGATTTTAAATTTGGCGGCGCGCAGACATAAATAAATGTGTGGAACGTACGCCAGCGAAAGTGACTGAGAGAAAAAAAGAGAAAGAGAGAGAAAGAGAGACAGAGAGAGAGACAGAGAGAAAGAAAGAGAGAGAGACAGAGAGAGAGACAGAGAGAAAGAAAGAAAGAGAGAGAGAGAGAGAGTTAATGGGAGAGGGGAAACGAAAGAAAAACAAAAAAAGGAAAGGACAGAAGAAAGACAATAAAGCGAAAGTGCTAAGTACATCGACGTTGCGCTTTAGCTCTCTTGAGATAAATATAGTGTTCGCAAACGGAGGTCACTCGCATCTCTGGACCAGCCGATGAAAACGTTCTCTTCTATCCGAATCAAAATCCCTTACTTTCTTGATGACTTGATGACAACCTGATCGAGATCGAAATTAATTTATCATAACTTATTCATACTTTAAGATTAAATCAGTAAAACGATTATAAGTTCTTTACATTTTGCTCTTTACAACACAATGTGCACATATATATATATATATATATATATATATATATATATATATATATAAGATACATATATAAGATATTTAGAACAAAAACATAACAATATAAAATAAAGCTATTATCGATTTATAGATTAATTACAAAATTACATAGCTGATCCTTGAAAATGTTTATATCGCGCATAAAATAAAATATAATCTATAAATTTGTTTTCTAATTAACCCATAAATCTAATTTACTTTATATATTCATTACTGTGTGTAGTTTACACATACACGCACGCGTGCGCGCACATACAGAGAGAGAGAAAGAGAAGGAGAAGGAGAGAGAGAGAGAGAGAGAGAGAGAGAGAGAGAGAGAGAAAGAGCGATAACAAATAGATTGATTGCATACAATCCACATAAATTTGTAGGAATCATTTTATCTTTACCACGAGACAATCTTATCTCATTTTTCTCTTGAGCGAGCACATCATAACGTTCAAATCCTAAATAACGTGGGAATTTTTATTATAAAGAAAAATAAATAAATAGATAGATAGGTGAGATAGATAGATAAAGATAGATAGAGACAGACAGACAGATAGATAGATAGATAGAGATAGATAAATAAATAGAGGGAATGAGACAGAAAGAGAGAGAGAGAGAGGGAGAGAGAGAGACAGATAGACAGAGACACAGCGACACAGAGAATCAGTGGAAACTATGGAAAACAACGGTGATACCGCGATGTCGTGGCCCTGCCTATAAATAAACGAAGAAATAATTGATACGGAACGACCTCTCCTCCTCCCTCCTAGTACTCGATCGTGGAACGCGAGTTCTCACTGCTATCGGCCAGTTCTTTAACTCTTCGGCGTTGCGGAACGCGTAAGGGCGACGACGTTTAAAAATATCATGCGACAAATCGTCTACGTGCAGCGCATGGCCACGTACCAGAGCGCGAGAGCGGATCGTATGACTCGTCGAAATTTAATACCAACCTTGCTGTTGGCGGATAGGATAGTCCGGTAGTCGAGTACACACTCGCACACCAACCAAGCTTTCGAACGTCTAACCGAACGTCTATTTCTCAACCCCCCTCAACTCAAAAATTATCGTGTTAGCCTCGTCAACGTCCAATCGATTCTTCTTTCTCTTCCTCCATTTTAAACGAGTGTTCAAAAGTGCCTAAGAAGGATCTCGTATCTCTTTCGAAAGATTTTAATACAACATGTTTTCGTTATTTGGGTATACCTTCAAGTGTCAAAAACAAGTATTTTACATGAACATTAAGTGAGTCAACAAATGTTGTGTATATATTATTTTCG